GTTAGGGGCAGCAGTGGAGGCAGTAGCAGCAGCAAGGGGGGTATCTCCGGGCCTGGCCCTCCTGCATGCTACGCCCGGGGCAGGCCTGATGGGCAGCTGAGGATCGCAGAGCCTGTCTGCCTTACAGCCAGCTGGATGTCCCACCACCCCTCACAGGACATCAGCTCAGAGCACGCCTCACCATGAGCAAGTGCCGGCCAGACCCAAGCCCCAGCATCCCTGAGTGCGGGGCAGAGGCCCTTCTCTCCGCCAAATGTCTACACAGTATACACAGGACATCATTGCTGCCACCACAACTGGTTTTCTGTCCCCAAGAAAGTGACGTTCATGACGTCCTGCCTGCTGGGAGTTGTCCCCCGTTTCCCCGCCCCACCCCCACCCCCAGCCACTGCTGCCTGCAACCAGGAGACCAGGGCAGACCTGTGAGCTGGAACAGGCGAGGACGCTGGCCCACCCCCTTGCTGGCACTGACTTTGCCTTGAACAGACCCTACCCCTCCCCTCCCCCACAAGCCTTTAATTGAGAGCCGCTCTCTGTAAGTGTTCGCTTGTGCAAAAGGGAATAGTGCCGTGGAGGTGTGTGTGTGTCCATGGCAATTTGGAGCGAGGTAACTGTCAACACGTGCGTGTGTGGGCCAGCCTCGTCCGGCGAGTGAGGCCACCAACCAAAGTCAGTTCCTTCCCACCTGTGTTTCTGGTTTGTTTTTTTGTTTTGTTTTGTTTTGTTTTTCTATATATATATTTTTTGTTGGATTCTATTTTATTTTTAATTCTCTCTTCTCCAGACACAATGGCACTGCTTATCTCCGAAATGGTGTGATCGTCTCCTCATTGAGCAGCGGCTGCCACCGCGCTGTGGGTAGTGTGTGACCGTGGCTGTACTGTGTAGTGAACATAGTTGGCATATCTTTGTTTGAAGTTGTTGGTGACTCCACCAAACTGGTGTAAAAAGAAAACGCAAAAAACCCACAAAAAAAGAAAAAACACACAAAACACAAAAAAAACTGCCTATATTTTACTCAGTTTCAAACTTTATTAGTCTATTTTTAATTATAAAACGAAACCAGAAAGCTGCATTATTTTCATTTTCCCACCTGCGCCCATTGGTTGCCTTTGTTTTTGTCATACCAGATCTTTTTTTTTTTTTAAACCGGACAAGGAAGGGCCAGGGAACAAAGTGGGTGCCTGGGCCACAAACAAGGCAGAGCTGCCCCACCTGACACCTGGCCCACCAGCCGGGCTGCCCTTTCCTCCACTTTTTAAAAAAATTTTTATAATTGGAGCTCTTGGTGAGGTTTCGCGTGCCATGAGAACCCACTCTACACCACGTTGCTGGTGCCTCAGTGTTGGCCAAAATCTGGAGTCACTGACTGGTTTGACTTTCATACAGTGAAATATGCATTTGGTCTGTACTGATCATGGAATAAACACATCTCTCTTTTTTAATGCTGGCGTCTCCCTGACATTTCTTTGTGAACCACCTATTGCTGCCTAGGTTAGGCCCAGGGGCCCTCTAACCCCAGGCCACCTTGTATGAGAACCACCAGGGGCAACCCAGCCCTCTCCCCTGGCCTGGTCCTGCCATCCTTGGGCAGGGGCTGCCATCCAAAGCTGAAGCTGTGACCAGAAGAGAAGCCCTGGTGACCTGTTCTTCCTGTGGACCCTGACCTAAGTGGGTGACCTGCTTCAGCAGAACCTGGCCAAACTCCAGACAGTATTCTTCCCCTCCACCCCCCATGCTGGTCCCCCAATCAACAGAGGATTTGGGCCACTTCTCTCACCTTGCCTGCCTCTAACAAACTCTTCCTTTTATTTAAGCTCAGGGTTAACCAAATATTCTTAGATAAGTGTACATTCTCCAAATCAGAACCCACTCCTTTTCCCCCCTCATGCATGCAAACACATTCCTGCCCTAGAGAGCCCACCAGGCAACCATCCTGCTGGCCCTGCCTTTATGCCCACCAGTATGTCACAAGGACAGGGTGGCAGGTTGTACCCACAAATGGCCCCTAGGATATAAAATGAAAGTCTATCATTTATGAGTGCAGACACTAACCTACTGAAATATTACTATTAACCATACCTCCCCACCCCATTTTCAACCAGAAAGGCCCTGTGTTATGTTTGAAATCTGCCAAACCTCAGTGAGGGTACAGTTCAGGCATCCAGCCAGAGACTTCCCCATCTTAACCCCCGCCCCCCCTGCCTCAATGGTCCTACCCCAGTCCCTCAACAGGCACTTCCTCATACACCATTGTGCTGGTTCAGGTGTGACTTACATTTTGGTTTTTTGGGATTTCTTCATCTCCTCCCACTCCATTTTTGTTCCGTGTTCTATTCAGAAATTTCCCCGGGACTGTTTATCTGGAGAAATGGTTTTGTCTGCAGCTTCCTTCTAAAGATTTAACTCTGCCATGGCCTTCTCCACACCTCCCTAATGGATGTTTCTCTAACTGGGTTGTAATTAGAACTTGGATTGACTAATTTCTTGGGTCATTTTTCAACTTCTCCCACAGTACTAGAAATTTTAGTCCTATACAAAGAGTAAGAGGTGTGTGCAAGTCCCCACTGTACTGTATGCACGGATCGCTTGGCCAATAATTAATGTCAGTGAATCTAAAACTTGTATTAAACACTTTAGACATTTGTAGAAGGGAATTCGTAGACTTTTCACTTATATACTAAAGGTTTTTTTTTTTTTGTGCAGTTCTCATTGCAAAAATAAACATTTGTATTGAATATAAAATTACCATCATGTGACTACTGTCCTTTTGTTTGGGGGTGGGGGTGTTGCTTGGGGTGGTATCCTGTAATAGGAAGAAAGGAGGTCCAGACACCCACCAGCCATGCTGCCAAATTAGAGGACTCAGGAGATGCCAGGAGAATTGATTTGATGTAAATGTAAAAGAAACCAAAGCTATGATACGAGTCATACAACAAAAGAAGGGCAATAAATCTGAGAATAAAGGCTTGTACAATATAATAATAATTACTCAACTGAGATGCATTATTTAAAAAAAGATTTATGCATACAAGAACTAGGGAACAGGCTGGAGGTGTAGGGGGTGAAAGGATTCACCAGAGACCGAGTGGGCAACAGAACAGGCAGACTGACAAATACACTGATGAGGAGAGCAGCGGGCGAGACAGGAGAGGTCTGCTGCGCCATGTGGGTAGCTCCCTGGCCAGCCAGGTATCAAACTCATGCTGCAGAGGCTGCGGATCGCTTCACAGTTCTGTGCTTAACCTCTTGCGCCACCAGGGAGGCCCTGAGATGCATTGTTGACTGAAGTAGAACCTCATAAGCCACCACTACCTGTTAGTAACTGGGGTACTTTATGGTCCCACGACAGTACAATTAATGTAAGCTGCCCTGACAATACCAAGATGAGGTTAACAGTGGAAGAGAGGGTGGGAGGTGACAAAAGAGAATGAGTGTATTGTTTCAAGTTGAAGGGACCAGTAGAACAACTGAAGCTGGAGACTAACCTCTGGTGGTGGTGACAAAAGCAAATCAATGGCTCCCCCCAATGAAAAAACAGCCATTTAGAAATACATAAGACTACCAGGAGAACGCTAAAAGCGCTCCAAGGGCTGCCTCCAGAGAGAGGTGAGGTCCAAAATTGCTGCCCACCCCCAAGCCCTGGACTGCTGTTTTGCCAGTTGAATGGCTGTAGGCAAATGAGTTAATTCTCGAATTTCAGGTTAGTGATGTGTAAGACAGAGATGTGATAATAGTATTGTTGTGTTAAAAGGTGAGTGACCCTAAAATATACGAGGGCCTTGGAGGTTGCAAAATAGGAGGAAGAAGCTGCCCTGCCAGGCCTTCGCCAGTTCCTGACCCGCTTCCTATGCGCCATAGCTCCAGTCAATCAACCTACCTGATCCTCAGGCTCCCCGGCTACGCCTTCCCCCTAGGAGTGAGTGTTCCCGCCTCCACTGGCCGAGCCAGGTCTTATACCTCCGATCGGCTCCGGAGTGGGGCCTGCCCCCTGCACTTAAAAACCTGCCGCCGTCCAATCACATCCTTGCAAGAGCGGGACGGGTACCTCTGTACCAGCTGGAGGTCCGCGCGGAGTAGAGGCAGCTGAACCCAACGTGATAAGGAGGGATGGGTGAAGATGCTTCCAGGTCTCTCGAAGCCAGACTCAGGGGAGCTCCGGGGCGGGGAGCTCTCGGGGAGATGACTGCAGGGGCTCCGCGCCTCCTCGGGCTGCGCCGACCGCCCGCCCCCCCAATCTCGGCCATGGTACTGACTGTCCCTTTCCTTCCGCTTCCGGACCCGCCCCACCGGCCCCATTAAGTTTCTACCCCGCCCGCGGTCGCCTTGGCCCGGGGCCAGGCTAAGCACCGGCTGATTGGTGCAGGTCAACATAAGACACCGCCTCCACTGGGCTCCGCCCGCTCCCCGCCCACCCTCCTAACCCAGTCCTCTGCCTTTACGAGGCTGGAGGGTCCAGCCGGGTCCACCTTTCTGCCAGTAAACTTTACCCGCCCTGCATTGCCCGCCCCTTCCTCCAGGCTCCGCCCATTTCGTCCCGGGCGCCCCCTCTCGGACATTCGTTTTTTGTGTCCCGCCCCCAATCTCCCCCTTGACTTCAGACCCCGCCTCCACCTGCTGTGGGGTCCTACTGGACCTCGCCCCCTTCACTCCCACCCAAGCCTTCCTAGGCTCCGCCTACAATTCTAGCCCCCAGCGGCCTCGCTCTCCCGGGCCGCGCCCCGAGGCCCCTCCCCAGCCTCGGAAGCTCCGTCCCAGCGAGCTCCTCCCCCTCAGCCTTCCCCGTCGCCGCCGCACTCAGAGTTTACCTGGCTCTTAGGTGTGTCGTGCTCGGTGGCGGTTTCGTCTGAGCCTCCCGCCTCTTCTCTCCGCGCCTCCCGCAAGTTCCGACGGCACGGAGGGCACCCAGACCAAAGGCGGTGGGATCCCCCGCCCGGATCCCGCCTCACCGCTGCTGCGGGCCCCCCCAGATCACAGCCCCGATCCCATCCCCGACGACGGCGCCGCGGTGGCCCGGAGTCGTGGCGACATGCCCGAGCTGGTGGTGACGGCGCTGCTGGCGCCGTCACGCCTCTCCTTGAAGCTCCTGCGCGCTCTCATGTGGAGCCTCGTGTTCGCCGCCGCGCTGGTGGCTGCAGCGGCTTACGGATGCGTAGCGCTCGCGCACGTGCTGTGCCGGCCGCGGCGCGGCTGCTGTGGGCGCCCCCGGCGCACCCCTCCAGCCTGCTTGAGCGACCCCACACTGGGTGAGCATGGTTTCCTGACCCTCAAGGTGAGTGCGTGGGGTGTCCTCAAGGCCTCAGGGATAGCGGCTCCTGAGAGGCGGACTGTGTGCGGCGTGGGGTGGGGTGAGCAGAGTGAATGCTTGAATCCAAATTGGTGGTGGGGGGCGGGGGGTCAAATGGCAACCCGCATTCAAGTCTAGGGATGAGGGGGTTCCCAAGGTCTCAGTCTACCTACTCCCACCACTCCTTAACCCTCCAGAGCTCAGGCCTGCGGCTTCACTATGTCTCTGCTGGATGTGGCAACAAGCCCCTCATGCTGTTTCTGCATGGCTTCCCGGAGACCTGGTATGTCTTAAACCCAGGGTCCTCGGCACATGGGCTCGAGGCAAGTGGGACGAAGGACAGAATAGACAGAGCATATAGGGCCCAGATGGGGGCATGGGGCCAGGGGTCTACCCCAAGATGTACAGGGATGAGGGACCCTGAAGGTACCACACAAAAAGGTATTAACATTGAGGCTGCCTTGGATCCCTGGCTCAGTTCGCCTTGCTCTTGGCCTTGAACTTCCCATCCTCCCTCTGAGAAGACCAGGGAAGGAAGGTGGGGTTGCCAAAGGCCTCTAGGGCGTAGGGCTGAAGTAGGACCTGGGACCCTGATTCAACCTCCCTCCCTGGCCCGCCTGACAGGTTCTCCTGGCGCTACCAGCTCAGGGAGTTCCAGAGCCGCTTCCATGTGGTGGCTGTGGACCTTCGGGGCTATGGTTCCTCTGATGCACCTCAGAATGTGGATTGCTACACTGTCGACCTGCTGATGGCGGACATCCAAGATGTCATTCTAGGCCTGGGTGCGAACAGGTTCCCTTCCCAGGTCTGACCTCCCCCACTCCTGCCTCACCCCTACCTGGCACTTCATTTACACCAGCTCCTCTGAACTCCTAGGTTACTCCAAGAGCATCCTTGTGGCCCATGACTGGGGAGCAGTCCTGGCCTGGAATTTCTCCATCTACTACCCATCCCTGGTGGAGCGGATGGTTGTGGTCAGTGGTGCCCCCATGTCAGTATACCAAGGTGTGTTGGGGAGTCAGGACATGGGGATGTGTCTGTGTGAAGGGCGTGGGTCTGTGTGTGGGCTTCTCCATCCACCAGTTAACACTCCAGGGACTGGGATGAACTGGGTCACTCCCCCTGGTCACTCCCCCAGATTGTTCCATTCCAATCTACAATCAATGGCAGTGCACTTAAGAAAGACCCACAGTTTTTGAGCACTTACATTGAAATATTGTTATTATTATTCCCATGGTCCAGTTGGGAAAACAGGGGCAAGGAAGCTAAATGACTTTCTTCTGACAGGAAAGACATAGATAACTAGGTAACTTCATTTGCATGAGATGGTATCTCTGGCTTCCTGATGTCATCACATCACCTGATTTTATTTATTTATTTTTTAAAATTTATTTACTTACGCATACAAGAACTGGGGAGCAGGCCAGAGGTGCGGGGGTGACAGGATTCACCAGAGACAGAGTGAGGAACAGAACAGGAGGAATGACTGAAATACATTGGTGAGGGGAGCAGCGGGTGAGTCAGAAGAGGTCTGCTGCACCATGTGGGTAGCTCCCTGGCTGGGGATCGAACTCGTGCTGCAGTGGCTGCGGATAGCTTCATAGGTTGCATCTTAACCCCTTGCGCCACCAGGGAGGCCCTCATATCACCTGATTTTAATGCCCAGCATTGTAATCATTAGCCTCTCTCTCTTTCTCTCTCTCTCTCTCTCTCTCTCTCTCTCACACAAAACTTCTTGTCTTTTTCTATCTCTAATCTGTCATCTCCCTCAGGGCAAGGGAGTTTTGCCTATTTGATTCACTGCTATGTCTTCAGGGCCTAGAATAGGATCATGCACATAGTAGGTGCTCAATAAATGTTTCTCAAATGAAGCAGGGGAAATGCATCCAGACCTGAGCAGGGGAGTAGCTGTGGACGCTCCTATAAGCTATATAGAGAAGCATCTCCATTCTGTGGGTACAATAATCATCCTGATAGGGAAGGAAGCTAGTGCCTGGGCCAGAAGGGGTGTCCAGTGTCCTCACAGACCTAGGAGTGTGTAGGGGTACAGGGGTATGGGACCATCCCAGACCCAAGCTTCACATCTGCCTTCTCCTTACCCCAGACTACTCTATGCACCACATCAGCCAATTGTTCCGTTCCAATTACATGTTCCTGTTCCAGCTTCCTTGGCTTCCTGAGAAACTGTTGTCCATGTCTGACTTCCAGGTGCAGTGGAATAAGGGTCTGGGGCTGGAGGGCAGCAGGTTGGGACTGAGTAGTCTAGGCACTGAGGCCAATGTCCTGCTGTGTGCCCAGATCCTGAAGACCACCTTCACCCACCGCAAGAAGGGCATCCCACACTTGACTGCTAACGAACTCGAGGCCTTCCTTTATGATTTCTCACAGCCTGGTGGCCTCATTGGGCCTCTGAACTACTACCGAAACCTCTTCAGGTGAGATCCAATCCAGAGCAGTAGCTCCAGAAAGTGGCAGGGAGAAGGGGTGTGGGCAGCCATTCTTTTGCCTGTCTATCTATCTTGGCCACAGGAACTTCCCCTTGGAGCCCCAGGAGCTGGCCACACCCACACTCCTGCTGTGGGGAGAGAAGGACCAGTACTTAGAGAAGGGACTGGTGGAGGCCATCAGCAGCCGTTTTGTGCCAGGCCGGCTTGAGGCCCATATCCTGCCAGGTGTGGGGCACTGGATCCCACAGAGCAACCCCCAGGAAATGCACCAATACATGTGGGCCTTCTTGCAGAACTTGCTGGACTAGTGGCCTTTGCTTGCTGATCTGCGTGTACCTGGGAATCCATCAACATACATACATGGGTGGCCTCCTGGACTGCACACAAGCTTGGAACTCCTAGATGTCACTCAAGTGCAATTGTAGTTCCTCTCAGACACACCCAACCATATACTCATACACAGGCTTGAATGTGCATGTGTGAGCCATGGGAACTAGGAATGCCTTTCTTCTGTGGAGCTAGATGCTGAATGTCCTACCACTCTCCTCTCCAGGACACCGGTCTTCCTGCCGAAATCATACCCTATAGATGCACATAATCATAACCCTTTTTTTGGTTTATACAGCGTAACTTTGACCGTCCTGTCTCTGGTTTCCACCTCCAGTCTGTGTCTTCACTAATGCTGCTCTGTCTAATACATAATGATGCCACATAATGATGGCTACTTCTATTTAAATGTAAATTAATTAAAATTATATATAATTTAAAAAATTCTGTTCCTCTGTCACACAAGCCCTATTTCAAGTGCTCAACTGCCACACCAGCATAGAAAGTTCTATTGGCAAGTGCTGATGAGAATATTCGTTGCTTAAGGGTAGGGGGCCTTCCAGTGTGACTTCTGACCACTTAAACAAGGAAGGAGCCTCATGAATAGTCCAGGCTTCTCTCCAGCTGGCCCCTGGGAAGCACCCACAATCCCCCTCTTGGTCATGACTCTAGGTTTTGCAAGGTCAAGTTCTCCTAGTCCATCTTGTGCTGGCCTGTTTCAGATCCCTGAAAAAACAGATCTTGGCTGTGTTTGGACATGTGAGATTCTGGACTTGGTGCAGGAAGGGATCAACTCCCTGGAGGACCATGTGGGGCCTGATTCCAGCTCTTGGAATCTTTTGTTCCAGATTAGCCACAGTTTCTGCTGGTACTGGAGTCCCCTGACGCAAGCCTCCAAATAAGATACACACTGAGGATGGACTGCCCGTCCCCAGATGGTCACAGCATCAACTCCTATATTCCTAGCCTTCTAGTCTTTGGAGGGGGGACAGTGTCATTGCCTGCAGCATTATGAATCTGAAGACACAGCAGATCTCAGCAATATTCTCCTGTCTCTGGGATGAACTTGCCTGCTGGTCACCCTCCTTTGCCCTCCCTTATCCCCAACATGACATCCTTTCACGCCTCATCATATGTGCCAGGCGTCAGTTCAGGCCTTGAGGATGGAATATGAACAAGAAAGACGCAGAGCACCTGTTCTGGAGACTGAAAAGACGTGTGTGGCAGGGCTCAGGAACCACTGCTGCTACCCCAACTGGGGACTCACACATTTTGGGGGAGTGGGAAACAATAAATAGGAAGGTGGAAATTGGGGGGGACCAGAAGAAGCCTGGGCTCCTGGGGGTAACGATGGGGCAATCAGTGACTGCTAGCACAGAGCACACAGAGTGCGCAGAAGTCACAACCAGACAAGCTGGGAAGTTGAGATGCGATTCCCTAGGGGAGCCAGGAGAGGGTTTTTAGCAGGAGAAGGACATGGTTTGCATTTTGAAAAGTTCCCTGTGACAGCCAAACAGGCCCACGCAAGAATGAAAGCAGGCAAGCAGTCAGGGGCGGTTGCTAGGTCCTTAGAGCTGGGACCCCCAGGGTTCCACTTGCCAAGGCGGGAGCACTGCCCCCTTGAGGACACGAGCGTGAGGAGGGGAGGCGTTCTGGGCTGAGGTCAGGGGCAGCAGCCTAAGGACAGTGTATCCCGGGGATGGTGGGTCTAGCTACGGTTGCCGGGGGGACGGGCTGACGGCTGACCCGGACGGTAGCGGTTGTCGGAGTTACCAGAGGGGCCCAGCCTAAGGCTGACTGGAGGCTTCCTACTGTTGCCTGGACGACGGGGTCCGCTGACGGTTTCCAGGGTAACGAGAAGGCGCCGTCTTCCGCGCCCGCGGCTGCCGGCTAAAGAAACAGGAGCTTAAGGGAGGGAGAGGGAAAGCGATTGTGTTGATTGGGCAGAGCTCTGGCGAGTAAGCCAATAGCGGCTCGTGGTTAGGCCGAGGCCCGCCTTTCAGCCTGGGCCAATCCTGGGGTGCCTTTCTTTTGGCGGAGGGATTCCAGGCGCCTCACTTTGGGCGGGAGGCGGTCCTCTGGGGCTTGGAGGGGGCGGTGCCTGCTAGGGGAGGGCTCCGAGTTGGCCTTCCCCAGGCCCTTACTCTGTACCCCTGCCTCTTCCATCATTCATTCATTCATTCATTCATTCATTCATTCATTCATTCATTCATTCATCTGTCGCTGCCACCAATTCTAAGTCACCAGAGGAGAGGCAGGGGACAGACACTCCCAGCCCTGTTTGGTCGGGCCCCAGTAGAATGAGAATGGGGAGGGGCACTTACCAGGAGTGCAGAGGGAAGGCTGCCTGGAGGAGGCGGTCTGGGAGTTAAATAAAACCCTGCAAAGCAGTCCTCCAATTCACAGAAGCCCTCTGTGCACTGATAGTTTGGCATTTCCATGAGCCAGGGAGCTACACTTGGGGTGAGAAGACAGGATTGCAAAGGACTGCAAACACTAGGCCAGAAGCTTAATCCCTAGAATGATGGGGACCAGCAGGTGAGGGTCTTGGGCAGATCTGTGTGTTTCAAATAGTATTTCATGGTTGGTGAGGCAGCAGGATCTGAGGGGGAAGATCAAGTTTGAGAAAACCTGGAAGGATGGACGTGGTCTAGACAATAGGGAATGAGATCCAATTCCACGCACTGGAGCAACAGACATGTAGGGAAGACCAGAAACAGTGGGCTGTGTTTACTCTAAGAAGCTAGACCCCTAGGGCATGAACCTAGAATCATCAAATGACTAAGAATAATCTTTGAATCATCTTTGAAGACAAAGATGTCCCAGCAAGCATCAGTGTGTTGTGGGCAGAGGGGCTCTGAAGCAGAGAAAGAGGATGAAATCTCAGGATAGAGTGGAGAACAAGTTGGGAGACTGAGCCTCCCCATATCTACGGGACAGGCAATGGAGAGCCAGCACAGAGGTAGGAGGGGAAGTAGGCAAGCACGGCAGCCCAGTGATGGAAGGGTATAGGGGTGTCAAGGAGGGACATAGCCAGTGTGTCATGGCTACTGAGATTGAGAGGACTGACCCCTTAGATTGAACATGGAAACTCAGGAGCAGGATTTGGGTGCTCTGAATTCAGTTAAACAGAAATGGGGAGGGGAGAGTGGGAACTCCAGCTGAAAGTCTCAAGGAAACAACACACTCAAATGGGGTACTTTGGGACAGGGTTGCTATAAGGATTACAAACTGTAGGCAGGTTTTGGAGAAACTAACAGGGGCTAATGCAACACCCCAGGATGAACAGAGTCATTACCATCTCTAGGTATCCCTGACCAGGCAAGGGGAAGAAAGCATGTTGGCAGAACCTGGGAGAGAGACTTTTGTGGAAAGGGACTTGGTCAAGGGACAAAGGCAGTGGAGATGACCCTACAGGGAGGGATGCAGGAAGATTAATATCACATTGCCCCAGCTTCATCTAGTACCTGAGCTTCTGCTGGCCACACCCACCTGGGAGCTAAAAAGACAAGGATAGCCACTGATGCAGTCTGTAGAGGTAAGATCTGAGTGGAGAATGGGAAAATGGAGGCGAGTATGTGTGGGGAGGTGCAGGGGAGAGAAACAGACACAGGGGGAAATGTGAGATGAGAATTGCTCCGTATTCTACTTTATCTTGAAAGAGACCTCAACCTGTGGCCAAGAGGGGTCATGAAAAGCTACAGAGTGGCTCTCTTCTTTTCCAAAGCAGGAGAAGTGGCATTCCCCTTCTCTGAAGCAGGAGGGTGATGACAAGCATCATACTGCAGGAAGGACAAGCTTCAGGAGCCAGAGAGGCCAGACCAGTCAGTTTGAGGACATCAGCACATGATGTCACAGCATCGAGCAGAAGATAGGGTTCAGGGTGACGCCGTGGGCAGGGAAGGTTGAAGTGGTCTGGAACCCAATGTCTGTGAGTCCAAGACATCCATTGGACAATCTACCCAATGAAAGGTTCCTGAGACAGGGAAACCACCACCCCAGAAACGAAAGAGGGACTGACTTACCCTGACCAGAGCTACAGAACCAGTAGGTCATCCATTGAATTGAGTTCTCTTCTCTCCACTCTCCTTCCGCGTTCAGCTCTCACATACACTGCCTCCTCCAGGAAGCCCCACCAGCCCCCATCCCTTCCTCTGATTTTGCTGTGATGTAATGAGAGCTAGACATGTCCGTGTCCAGACAGGCATGTCTCAAAGGCTGGCACCAAGCACCTTCAAGTCTGGGTCCTGCTCTGTCCCAAAATATGCTGGGCATATTCATTCATTCAACAGACAATTCACCTACTGAGTACTGGACTCTATGCTAGACACTGAGAGCTCTGTAGGGAGCAAGACAGCCCACAGAACTCAGAATCTGATGGTGGAGCTGGGAAGGATCATATGGAAGGGTAGGGTGGAGATGGAAGAGGCCATGGGAACCCGGAAGAGATGGTGTGAAGCTGCAGGGTCAGCTCCCTGGGAGAAGTGTCCGAGCTTTCAGAGTGTGCTTTTACAACCTCAGTTAGGTCAGCCTCCCCTTGCTGAAACCCTCCAGTGGCTTCCACTGTGCTTGCCATACAATCCCAGACCCTTTGGCCCCTTGGGACTTGGCCCCATCTTCCCCGACCTCCCACCCCTGGCTCACTCTGTACTCAGCAGCTTGTACTCCTCACTGTTCCTCTCACCCACCCCTTCTTTCTCTGGACCATTTCATTTGCTGTTCCCTCTGCCTGAAAAACCCTGTCTGTGGCACTTTGCTTTGCTGGCTCCCTCTCCTTTAGATGTCAATTCTAATGTGCTATCATCAAGGCTGGTCCTGACCTCCCTTTGCTGAAATCTCCCTTTCCTTGCTTAGCTGTCTCCTGTCAATGGATTTTTGCGTTCCTGTTTCTAGTCTGTTTTCACTATCAGAACAGGAAACAGCTTTGTCTTGGTCATCTCTACCTGTCACTGGGCCTGGAGCCACACAGGTACACAGTATAGTAGGTCTTTGAATATTTTTGTTTTGTTTAACAATTTTCTAATAATGTTAGGAGAGAATAACATTGGTAAGAGAAAAAGATCTAAATGAAGTGTTATTCAAATATCTGTTTTTTATTATATGTCCTTAAAATCAGTTTCCAAGGACATATTGATGACGTTAAATGAGGATACTGAAATGTTTGTTGAATGACTGAATGAAGGTGAAAAGAGCTGGAGGGCCAGAGTGAGCTGCCAGGTAAAAGAAGACTTTGATGCTGTGCTCCCTGCCATGGGCACACAACCCCTGTGAAGAGTAGGAGGACTGGGATGTGGAGGGGAATCTGGTCAAATTAGGAGGGTGTTAGTTGGGGAAGTGGGGAGCCATGGAGGGTTTGAGCATGAGAAGTCCCCCAAGAA